ACACACACACACACACAGGATGCTCTGGAAAAAGAAACTGTGTCGTCTAGTAAAATTCCATCAGCATACACTCAAAACCCCCGTAAAAACCTTTTCAATCTATATGTTAATGCCACGAATTAAAATTTAATAACAAGAGATATTGAAAAGCAGCCTTGAATTATACAAAAATAAATCCTGAAAGATCAGGCCCTAAAATTAGAAATTCAGGGCGGCATCCGGTCTGCTGCTAAACCCTTGTAGGCTGGCAGATTAAATTTTTGATGAAAATCAAAATTACACTGCACACTGACGCAGGCGCAGCAAACCTGGCACTATTGTGATTTATGGATTCATTAAACCCGCGGGAGTTTCACCCCTCCCCTTTTCACTCAAAGAAATGAGATTTGCTTTGCTGAAAATTTGTATTTTCAGAAAAGCTACTCAGGCTCTGCTCTACCTTCAGAAAATGGTCAAGAAAAAAAAGCTTCTGTGTACATAACCACTGCACGTAAACAGGCCTATTTTCATTGCTGCGGCAATTGAACGCCCTTATGCATTATTCATGAAACCAATAAGGTTCATTTTTAAAAAGGAAGAGGCAGGAAAAATATGTGCAGAATGCACAGAATTTTTTTTTAATGCAGCAGCCCCAACCCCTTAAAAGCCATTCCCTGGAGACTAATTTAAGTGAAGCCGTTTTCAGACATTTTCAACATGCCACTAAGAAAATAGCAGAACATAAGATGCTCGCTATGTTTAAAAAGAATGCATGTTTGCTCCGACACATTTTAAACACAAATCATGCATCTGTAATTGTGCATTAACAAAAAAAAAAAAGAACTGGCATGACATCAAAGACAGAAACTGTTTGTGTAATACCGCTTACCCTTAATAGAAAACAAAACCTGCGTACTAAGTTAATGGCAATAAGAGCAGCAACTATGTTTCAAACACTGCAACCCACAGGCTGTGATATGATCCCTCACCATCTTGTGTTTATCAGTGCCTGGGGGAGACAAGTTTCACCTATCCATCCAAACTATTCGTTCCAAATATCCTCAGTGAAACAAAGCTTTTGTTCATTAAAGTACAGACAGACCAGCATTCCTCCTACCTTACTTAAAATGAGAACACTCCCAGAATGCAATTCCCATTAACCATCTCAGGGTTTAAGGTGTTCTTTTTGTCTCAACACTGCAGCATTATTCCTGAGAGCTTTCTTTCTAAAAGTTATTTATAAAGTTATAATGTATTACTCTGCCCTTCAGGTATTCTGCATATAAACATTCCCATCAGTCAAAGAGTGATCCAACCCTAAACTCATGACACTGGTTGCCTCTATTCACGTCTGTACCTTAACTGAAACTCCTGCATTTTGATTAGGCTTTCCAAGCAAAGGTCAGAATTTACACCCAGATTTTGAATACCAACCACACAATTTCCACCAGCTCTTTGAATTTATACAGATTTGAAGGTCAGCATTAAAATTACCCACAGCAAAATGGCCTCCGCAGTTTCCCTTACATTAAAATAAAAGCAAGCCATGCAAGATGGGAAACTGTTTGGCGTCTGCAGGATTAATATAAACAGTAGAGGCACTGGTTGTGATTGTTTTTCCTGCCCTCAAATTATGCTGACATGGGTCTTTTCTTCTTCCAGTGCTGTTCAGTTCACTTTGGATAGTTATTTTCCGCTTACACATTTCCAATCTCTAGAAATAAAAAAGTCCAAATTGTTCCATGTTTACCAAGTAGTGAATTATATATCTGTACACCCAGCATGACACACAAATACACACGATGCACAAACATGAACAAGCAAAATGAATGATAATTAACACTGTGCATGTTCTACTGAAAAAGGATTCAGGATGGTTTTAACAGATTGTTGTTTGTTTTCTTATCTCTATCTCCCAAGCACATTGAAATATACTGTTTCTTTATAAATGCTCAAACCTTCAAGTCCATAATATGCATCATGAATAAAAACCAAAACTGATTTTTTTTTTAATTAACTTGCACAATGCAGTTTTAAAAAAAAGGTCATTTTGCATTCATTAGCATGAAAAGCACAAGATCATTTTTTTCATTTTAATGTGAAGCAATCATTTCCGACTGGCGTCTACTCATTTCAAAAGCATTACAGCACGTCCCCATTAGCATAAAGTAACATTCAATATTTTAAAAAAAAACAAGTTTCAAAAACTAGTCTCATTACAATTTTTTAATTTCTCAAAATGACTGCCTACAGGTGGCGCCAATGACACACAGATTTAAAATCCTCTATCTTCCTTAAAAAGAAAATGTAATTCCACATGTATTTTGATATGACGCCACTTTGGTGGCTCTCCGAGGCTTTCAACAATGAACACCAAGCCGTCAAATAGAACCAGAAGTGAACGCTGACATTGTGTGAGTTTCAGAGGAGAGCAACTCCGGAGCTCTGCTCAAATTTGCTGGAAAATTCACAAAACATGGCTGCAGGAGGTTTTTGTGTTTCAGATTGTTCCTCCCCTCATCGTCCTTCATGTTGCCACTATCGTCTGGTCCCTTTTGCTCTATCTATCGGCACACACACACAGGTTTTTTTTTACCTAGGTGGTGTACATGCGAACTAACTAGGTGGCACAGACGACTAGTCAGCAGTTACACAGAAACTTCATTACAAAAATTCTGTGTTTAAAAAAAAAAAAAACATCAACAGATTAGGTCTATTTCGGCTGGCTTCAAAGCCCTGCACCTGGTTTAGTGGCAGGCAATAGTGCAAAAGAGGTCTGCTGGGTCTCGTCTATCAAGTACAATGTACTGAAACTTAATATCCGCAAGTGGAATTTCTCAAATTTAGGATTTCTAAATCAGAAAAAAGAAAACACAGTGGTGTGACATACCTCCAAAAACGATGCAGCTCATGCGAACCAGGCTCCCCCGCTCCAGAAATCTTCCCTCCCCGAGCAGAGGTGACTGCACAACGAACTGCTTCCTCCAAAAAAAAAATTGTGAATTAGTTACGAGAAATTCCAATTGTTAAAAAAAATTTCACCACGGGCTCTCTCTCTCTCTCTCTCTTTTTTTTTATTCCTCCGCGACACGCTACGTTACATTTTAGAAAGAGTAATGGCGTAATGAATCGTGAATTTGCCGAGGTTTACTCGGTCCGTGCAGGCTCTCTCCGTGTTCTGCCTTGCACAGGGGGGGTTTGTGTTGCGGTTCCTCCTGTGGAAATTTCGTCCGCCATATACAAGGGCAGATTCCGAAATTGCAGCGCCGGCCTGTATATTAGCCTACATGGGAAAAAAAGAAAGAAAAAGGAAAAAAGTCTGGGAAGAAGACAGGGAAAAAAAGGTTGGCCGACTATGAAGTTACACGGGGGGAAAAAAGCGACTGGAAATTACGCAGAGGAAAAAATTCACAGAGAGCATTATATTATATAGCCGGCTCTTACGACAGCTCCACACTGTTAAGACATGGAGGTGTTTTATGCTGATAATAGCTTCCGATTAGGTCGCTGTTTAAGCTTATTTGACGGTGTAATGAGAAAAAAAGTATGAGATTATTGTCCAAGTTTGACAGATGCTTTCCAAATGTTTTCCGTGTGGCTGATTTAGTTGGAAAGGGAAATAGCAGCCTTCTATTCAACACGTAAGTTTTCGAATTGTCCATTGTGCTCAATTAAAACACCAGGGTTTTACTTAAAAAAAGAGTGACAACAGATTCATTAAATCCACGGATGTCAGTGCTGTGGACTGCAGCAGTCTGTACATACAGTACAGTTTGTTTTAGGGTGACTTGTCGAGAGTAAGGTTTTGGTTGGCCAACAAATTTGGATTTCAAACCCATACTTTTACAGAATTAACAATGTTTTTTTCTTTTGAAATAGTTTTGTTTTGTTTCTAGACAAAAGTTTTTGTGCCAAAATGGTTAGAGAAGCAGGTTTAGGCTTGTCAACCAATAATATGTAGTGTTTCAAATTCATTTAGTGTACTAGGCTGTAAATATGGGTTGAATTCATTAGACTTGACAATAATCTAAAGGTACAGTAATACCAACAACAGCAATAATTATAAAGCAATATATTATGTACTATTATACAATCTTAAATACAATTTAGCACTCAACAAGCACAATTTAACAGTTTCCATGAGCACAGTAATATAATAAAAGAAATAAGGGCTAGTTTGTGCCTTTTCAAGTCTTTTATTCTCCTTTGAGTCCTTATTGGTTCAGTCATCTGCAAACCTCTCATATGGGAAGTTCAGTCACCTGGAGAATGAATAGATTCATTAATTTCAAAATTTCTGATTTAATCAATCATTAATTTATCCAGTTAATCAATTCATTAATTTGTAATAAATTAATCAGTGAGTTAGTAATTATGGATTGGAATTATTAGAAAGTAGAGAAAGTCCATAATGAATTGAAGCCACAGTAATTGACACCTAAATCTATTAATGATGTGTAATTCAGTATTGTTTCATTTCTTTCTACCAGCCTAGGAGGACTTTCTCTCTGTATGATTTATTTATAAATGTTTTTATTATTTTTACAATTTCACAATATATCACAGTGATTGTAATTATTTCTACACTAATGACATAAATAGCTTGGATTTTTTTGTATCCACACCTTGTTTTTGTAGTAGCATGCTGTATGCAAAAACCGCACCGTGAAGACCACTCCAAACAAATCTGTGACAAAGTTATTGAAAATTACTAATCAGGGGAATGGTACAAGGCACCAAATATCTCTCAGAGTACAGTAAAGTCGATCAAAAATATGGCATAACTGCAAATCCGCCTCCTTAAAAATGGAGTATCCCCACAAGGAGGGCACAGAGGGAGACCACTTAAAGGCCTGTTGGACTCTGAATGAGCTACAGGTGTCTGGGTTCTTCACCGAGTGGCAGAAAGAAATTCCTTTAATTTTTGAGAGAAAAAAAACTCATAATGTCAATTACAGCTAGGCTGAAGTTTTCCAGAGGGCACGCAGTAGACTTCAAAATATAGAGAAAATAATAAAATATTTTAAAAAAAGTATTTTTTTGGCATCATACTCATACTAAAGACTCTGCACATCAGCAGAAACACAGAATGTTATGAATCCTGTTGGAGGCAGCATCATGTTGATGCTTCTCTGCAGCAGGCCCTGGAGGGTTCGTGAGGGTAGAAGGGTCAAATAAATGCAGCAAAATGAGAAATCCTGGAGGAAAATTTGCTGCAGCAGCAACTTGGGAGTATTTTTTTTTTTTTTTTTTTCAAGACAACAACAACTCCAAACATATAGCCACAGCTATACAGGAATGGCTGAAAAACAACTATGTCTAGTCCAGTCAATAATTTGTGAAGGGACTCGCAGCTCTTGAACAACTTTACAGAGCTTGAGCAATTTTGCAAAGAAGAATGGGGGAAAGTGCAGTTTGTCCAGTGGTAAAGCTGATAAAGACCAATCTGACTAAAGGCTATTAGCGCTGTTAAAGGTGCCTCTGCTCAATTACATGAAAAATGTGGATATGTTCATTTACTATGTGTTTTATATTTGTAATAAAATCAATTTTTGGCTCTGACTTTTTTGTACTACACTTGTTTATTGTTGTTTTCTGTTATCAGTGTCAAAACTCCTATTATGCACTGTTTCAATGATTTATTGTTGTAAAACAACACAAAAAATATTGGCTGTGGAGGGGGGGCACTGCATCAACCATGATAATTAATTATCCTTTTCTCATGGGTGTAGCATGATTTATTTTACCTTTATTATCAAATTAAGCTGGGACGTTTTCTTTTTTCCTTTTTCTTTTCAATATGCAGATTATTGCACAGAAATATATGATTAAAAGGCTCCCACGGTTTCTTGTTTTTCAAGAATCCCTGAAACAATCTGTTACTCTCTGTTTTGACAACTGCTCAATAATGATATGATTAACCTTTTGCAATTGGAAAGCAATGAGATCACTGTTAATTTAATGAATCATTCCTTATATTAACAATATAATAGGCTAATGAGATCATCCATCCTGTCGTACTTAAAACTGGACTAATGATGAAACAGAGCAGAGGAAGTAGTGTACGTCCACTAATACTTATAAAGTGTTCATACATTTTCAAATGTACTTTCTTCTTGTTATCTGGATGGTATAGTTCAGTTACACAGGTGCACTTGGAAAGTTGGTGCTGGGGTGATTACTTGCATATCACATAAAACAAAGTGTTTATGATCTGCACCCAATGCCCTCTTCTGTTTTGATTTATACACTAAACCTCTCTCTCTCTCTCTATGTATTTATCACTTCTGTCCAGCAGAGAGCACCAACATACCAATAACTAGACACTTCCTTGGCTCTTATGTATGCAGTGGCCAGTGGGTAAGCTGCAGCTGTACATTAGAACCTGCTCACTTTTTGCTCTCTGTCTCCCTCTGCTGCTTGAACTTTGAAAAGGTCTGATCCATTTCATTAAGTTAAAGAGATTATTAAGTCTTTTCTGTTACCTCCCCAGGAATTAAAAACCTTCATGTACAGTATATTAAAATAATGATGGATGATAGAGGCTTTGTTTTAAGTTTATTTGTGGAGCACAATCTCGTAGAAAAGCAATTGTGATTTACAGAGTGAAAAAACAGTTGAAAGTTAGAACATACAGACAGCACTCACAAACACACACACACACACACAAGGTAAACTAAACAGAAAATGTCTTGGGTTTAATCTTTAAATAAGAAAATGGTTTAGGCACAAACCTTAGACCAGGCAGGCTGTTCCAGAAAAAGCACTGAATGCTCTGTTGCATGTTAAACTGGGCCCAAAATTAAAGTCAAGCACAGTCAGTCCTGTAATGAACAGGTAGCCAGTGGAGCTGTTCAGAGTGATGTGATGAAATGTTTTGGTCTGGTGAATGATAGCTCAACATTTGAGTTCCTGGTGATATTTTAAGCTGCGTTCTTAATCACTTGAAGTTACTTTAAGAGGTTCTTTTACACTGATGACAACAAAGGCACTAAATCCAGAGGTCTGATGAACAAGTGAGACAATAGTCTTAGGCTGAAGGATAATTCAGGCAATGAGGAATGAATGAGACAGTTCTTCACAGCAGCAGAGAACAAATTGAATCCACTGACTCACAGCACAGAAATTTGGGATAAAACCTAGCAACCATAGTGTCCTTAATATAACAAAACACACTCTATCTTTCCTCTCTCATTTTTCACAGCTCAAGGTTGGCCTGACCTTCTCTCAACCTACTTTTTGAAAAATATTCCTTCAAGTGGCAGAAGAACCAACAGGTGAGTAGAGCTGACAACAAGGATGCTATTTTTTCCCAGCGACCTACTTGGGCTCGAGAGCCGCCAGACCTTTTGCTGCATGCTCAAGAGCTCGGCATAAATTAGGAGACACTGCCCCTACACTAATGTTACCACAATGTAGGTCCTCCAACATTTGACAGAAATAACCTGAAAAAAGAGAACAAAAACTGTCACAGCTCTGTAATCAAATACAGTACTTCACTATGAAAGTTACATTTCAGTTTTTTTTGTGTAGTTAATGTGATTTCTATTCCAGTATACTCTCTCCATAGATACAGTCACTTGAAGCAAGACTGCAGCTTTTGAAAGGAGAAAGCACTCAACCTTCGATTACAAATGAAAACTAGAAATATACATCAAAACATGTACCAAGCAGTTGAAGACCTTGAAGAACATCAGGGTTTTCTTGAGTCCTTGAGACACAGCCTTGAAATGGAAATTACTTTTTGTGCACTAATTTACACACAAACTATGAAAACACACGAACCGCATAAGGGGAGGCCTGTTTACACATAAAGGACCGTGTTGAACACTAATGATACACAGACAAGAGAGTGTGGACATGCATGTACATACATTTTGTGTGTTGACATCCAATGCGCAAAACATAGCAGGTGGCCTCAGTTAAGCTATATCTGAATGGTGACAGTGTTTATTTATTCACCAGTTATACAGCTCTAGTTAGCATGATCAGTAAACAGAATGATGCAATATCTGTTGTCCCAGTTCATCCTTTACCTAATATGTATTGTTACAAGAAAACAGTAGTTGTTGGCTGACCACAGACAACTAAAAGTGGTATGAATCCTGGCTGTTGTTTGGTACGTTGCCACTGGTAATTGCAGGTTTTTATCAAAGGCCTCTTGTATCCATGTACAGTGTGTTATTTAGCATCAACAGAACCTGTTTAATTCTAATGTTGACTCCAAACCAAAAATAGACTCTTTTTTGTTTTTCTAAAGTGACTTAAAAACAAGCTGGTGTAGACTTTAGGCTAAAGGAACATTTAGATGTTTTGGAAAATATGCTTGTTTGCCACCTCACACAGCATTAGAGATTAGAC